AAACAAACCCATCACCCAGAAGTTGGGGTCATCGCTGTGGATCAGACTGAAGGGTTGAACATGTCAGCGAGAGGAAGCAAGAGGAAGAAGCCAACCACACTATTATAAAAACATAAAAATGTGTTTGTCTGAGGTTTTCCTCTGTGCACTGACCTGACCGTTGTCCCACTATAATATAAATGCCATGTGCACTTTTTCAACCAAATAGCAAATAAAAATGTCAGTCTGGGGGGGGGGAAAAGAGGCAGAATGCAACCACAAACGCAGGACGGCATTCCAGCCACGGGCCCACGGACAGCTTGGTGAGTACATAGTAAATCTGGAAAGACTTGACTAATATAAATGGAGGAAGGAAAGACTGTTTACAACATAAACATTGGGAGGGGGCTGTGGGTGGGGGCAGGGGAATGCAGCTCACTGCACTGCTGGGCAGGGACACAAAGACAGGGAGGATGGGGTGTGACACAGTGAGAAGAACAGTATATAGTGTAATGTGACAAATATTCAAAAGCTGACTTAAGCCCTGGTGCATCACACAAGTAAAATCACTGAAAACCAAACCTTTTTTTAACCCCTCATTATTTTAGTTTTCAAGATTTTCTAGAAATCAAACCCCATTTTTTTAAGGTTGCAAAGGCCAACTAATGCATTTCCATTCAGGATTATCTCTCTATATAGTAGTTTTTATTGGTAGCTGTGCTCGATTCAGATTGCCTTACCTATGCATGAGGGATTCAAATACATGTAATCCAGTGCGATGTCATTTTATTATCTCACAGCCTCACTATTGTCTGTTCACTCTCTTTACTTTATTAAAACAACCCGAGTGTGTTGTTTGTTTTGCCATAAACAGACACACCAGTTGCTTTTCTTTTGTATTTCTAACAATGTAGCAGCTGGAAGAGTGTTGGCTGATGCATTTAATCACTTTTGCTGTTACCACGGTTACCAAAGGTGTCACCAAATCGACAAGGGCTGAAATCTGAAGGGTCCACACTGTTTGATAACATAATATACTTTATATTCTGTTTTAGCTTTTTGCCCCTCTTTTAGAGAAGCTGCTTGATTGTACACCGAGTGAAACTGTTTCCTATGATTGCGCCATAACATCAAGTGGAAATATTGTAGGTACCAGCTTTAAATAGAAGCTACGGTGCACCAATATGTGAATTCAAGAGAACAGGATGAGGGAGTGTAGAGAACAAAAGAAAACGACAACAAGAACAACAGCGAGGGGGTCCGGAAGTGCGAGCAGCAACAAGTGAGAGTATTGTGCAAGATTTATGGTTTTAGTAGAGGAGGGGAGAAAGCGAGTGTTTAACTGCGAACGGTAAGTGGAGGCGTGCAAACAAAGAGAAAGAGAGAAAGACGGGGAAGAGAAGCGAACGTGTAGCTGTGAGTTTGCACATGAAGAAAACTGTCACTCACCTTCCCCTGTCAGTGACTGAGAAGACGAGCAGGAAACCCTCCCCTGTCCTCATGTATTGTTCTCTCATGGCTCCAAACTCTTCCTGCCCAGCCGTGTCGAGGACTAGAGAGCACACATCAACACAGATCACACACACAAACACACACAAGAACTTGCGGCAAAATATACCTTTGCAATAAATTCCTCAAGTACAATACAATGAAATAGAAACATACAAAATAGCCCAAAAAAAAGTGTGTCCTCGCCTGTCTTTGTGTGTGTGTATTTACTCTAGTCGTATTTGTTCAGCAAAGTGCACTTACTGTCAAGCCTGGCCGCCCTTTCGTCAATCACACACTGCTTGGTATAGGAGTCTTCAATCGTGGGGTCATAGTCAGTGACAAAGTACGACTGCAGAAGAGAAAGAAAGAGGGGAAAAACAGAGATAAACATGTGAACATGTCTGGGGTCTCTACATTAAGTCAGGTTGAGACGCAAGTGGTGTCCAAAAGTGAGTATACAAGAAACCAGCATGCTTTACTGTGGATGACATGATATGATATGAGGAGGACAGCGCCGTACAAAGGCACTGCCAATTACACTAAAAAAAACAACAAAATATTTATATATTTTATTAATTGATGAGTTATTTTTTTCTGGTTCCTGGAGCTGTTTCTCCCCCATCCGTAATTAATGTTTTACTGACTGTGAGCAGCTCTTCCCCTCCCGTTGTGCATGGCACGGTGGAAGAAGAGTGTCCATCCACAGCACATTCAAAAATCTAAATTTTAATCTGATGAGTATATTTGTCACCAGCATCGACACTCTTGTGTATACTAAAATCCTGCTTAGAATGAGTATGTAATACTCTCTCCTTGTGTTTTTGGTTCAAACAGCACAGACAGCCTCTACCTCTACCTTTACTACCACACCTCAGACAGGAAGTAAACACACTGGCTGTGTACAGACACTTGTACAAAAAGTGTGAAGTAAATATTCCCTCACACACAAAAACCTCTGCTTGGGGTTTTAAGCAGGCTTGATTTTCATAATAAGATGTTTCCTCAGTTGCAACAGTCACACCACTCACTCCTGAAGGCTTTGATTCTTTCAAACTGGGGCCAGTATCTGGTCTCCTAGTAACCTAAACTGCAAGGGTGGGGCCAGGGGGCAGGGAGCCGGGAGGAGGAGTCATGCATTTTTTACATTTTTCCCATGTTTTGTAGTTCTCGCTCTCCTCGAGGACTAGTTAAGTGGTGACAGCTGAGGGGAGTGCTCGCGGGCTGTCAAACCAACACCCTAAAACACGAGACATCACGAGAACATAAAATCCAGACAACATTCCCTGTTGTTCTAACAAAAGGCCAAATTAAACTTTTACAGTCACAGTCATGTTTTTTGTGTGTGAAAATGTGTGTCGTTTCACACAACCACAAAGACCATGTACTGCTTTGTTTGCTGTTATTTGCCTGCCAGGAACTCGAGAGGGCTTGCGTTATGCATCTGAATGTCATATGTCATCTGACTCTTTAAGTGAAAATATAGACAGCTGATGCAGATTACTTCTTCTGATTAGAGCCTGACTGATACATCTGCATGAGATATCTGTGTGGGCTTATATGCTGGCTGGTGAGTAACATGTAGTTGTAGTACAGAAATGCTTTATGATATGATATATCGAGGTCATTTAGAAACTGCGTCGTCATTTGCAGCTACAAGTAACCAACATTTTCAGTTATTATTATATATTATATATTATATTGATTATTGATTCATATGCCAATCATTTCCTTTATTACTATTACGTTTTGTCTATAAAATGTCAGATAATAGTGAAAAATGCTATCAAATGCTATAATTTTCCCACAGTCCAAAACTATTTACTATCATATATGGCAGAGAAAAGAATAAAATCTTCACATTAGAGAAGTTGAATCACCCCTATTTCTTTTCATTACATATTAAAATAGCTGGTTATTTTTTGCTGTTAACTGACTAATTAACTCATTTTTGCAGTTGTATCAACATTACATACTGTTTTCCAGAAGATACTGACTGTAAAAATGCTCAGTACATAGCATGTTTGTCCAAATAACCAAATTGAAGGGGGCAAAAATATTTGTGTTAAGTATTTAATTTATGTAATTAGCCGATATATATAGTCAGCTGATTCACTCAACTCTCATATATTAGTATAGGTAATGGCCTCAAATATCCAGTGGTGGTCAAGCTCTGATTCTGATATGTGAAGGTTTATAATTCCAGCTTATTGTCTCTCGTGTCCTCTGCATCTAAATTCTTTCTCCTCACCTGCAGCTCTCTGTTGTTGCAGGTAATCTCTCCCTCTCACTCTCCTGTCCCTCTGCGGCATGCAAGTATGCCGGCCTATGTCACATCCACTCACCACTGTTCAATAATTCATCAGTATTACTGTGTATCCTAGAACGTGCTTCACTGCACTGCACCGCCAGTGTGCCATCAGACGACCAGAGACAGAAAGAGAGAGAGAGACGAGAAGAGGAAAAAAGCTGCTTGCTCTTTTCTTGTTTTCCTCCTCCCACCACACCACCCCCACCACCACCATTCTCCCAGCCGAATCTTCAGCACGTGACCTCGGCTTCCCGTCAACCTCTTATTCCTATTCTGTCAACCTCGGGCAGCCGCATTGAGCACCGCACTCCTCTGGCTATTCCTCCCCTCCCTCCACATGCATGGGTAGTGTAGCTGCTGAGCTCTGTTCTGGCTGAGCTGATTCTCTCAGAGCTGTTTCCCGTGATAGATGAGGCTGTTTTGCAGTGCCAGCAGCACCAGAGCCAGCACTAACAGGGCTGTGGCTCGGCCTGGCTTCAGCTGGGTAGCCATAGAGCGATGGGCGAGGTGAGGGGGTGCAACATGACTCAGGGGGACTACCAATAAGTATGTGACATAAGCCTGAGTCACATCCAGTAATATGACCTACAAATCTATATATTAGTCCGTGACTTCATCAGATGTAACAGGCTCATCAAACAGAGTGAGTCAGGCTGTATGAGCTGAGTAGAGCTGCCCCGGGGTTTCGGGGAGTAATGGGACCCAAACATTGCTGTGTCCGCCACCTGCAACAACGGATTAGTACCTTTTGACCACTGACCAAAATCAAGTATTAGAGAGTCCTGAAAATTAGGCTGGAATACTAAGTCTTCTTTTTTTTTTAACATATTCTTTAAACGGATATTTCCTGATATGTTTTACAATTAACTTTTTTTAAATAATCAGAGCTCAAAATGATGTCTTCAACTGTCTTCTTTTGTTAAACCAACAGTCCGTAGCGCAATTACATGTTAAATGTTACAATGATGAAACATAAATCCCTCACATTTGAGAAGCTAAAGCAAAAGATGTTTGATATTTTTTATGGAAAAATTACTAAAAAGATCTGGTTTTCTAAATAGTTTTTGTCAACCTACTAAAAAGCTCTAGAAATTCTATTTATTATTTTGGTACTGATACCAAAATTCAAGGATTTTACTGACACAACTAAGGAAAATTTGAGATGATATCCAAAATTTTTACAGGACAAGCTGTGACGTCAGTGTTCTTACTGTTATCTGCCAGACTGAATCGCATGGAGGGGGCAGACGAATTCCTAGACAGATTTTAATGAAAACAATGGACAGCTGTCATGAGGAGACAGCTGACACTCACAGTGGGGTCACAGCTCAATTCACAAACTGTGAGTGTAGTTTTTGTGTGTTTGTATGAACAAACACACACACACACACACACACACACACACACACACACGATCCACAGTGACCTGTGTTCACTAGCATTCACTGCTACGTGCCCTCCTCTCAGATGAATTATCTAACTGCAGCACAAGCTACTGAGGCATTTACAGCAAAAGTAGTCTGCAGCAACCTTGCAAAGCTGAGGTAAATTACTATTTAAAAAGGAGCCAACTTGCATGCAGCATGGAAGGATGCTAAAAAAATGTAAGAACAAACTCATGCTCCACTTAGGCAATCATAAGGCCAGTACTGACATGACCACCATCGTGGGTGTGTGTATTTGGGAGCTGTAAAACCAGGATTATTAACATCCTTGGATTTTTGCCTGTACTCAGCAGCAGTCAAAGTAAAAGTTACAGTTTAAAACTTTAAAATATAAAAATAAAATTAGAAGGTGCATCAGCTCACTGTAAAAAGAAGCAAAATTGATGATTATATAAAAAAAAAGATAACAAAGCCTGCAGAACCGAGCCCCAGTACATTTTAGATGTTGGTGGCAAGGTGGGTCAGGCCACGCTCAGACCCCGGTCAGTTCAGCAGGAAGGAAACTCCACCTCTGTAGCAGGCAGCTGGCTCGGGCCGAGCCTTCGGGTGGTGGTGATGTCACAGACGACATGTTCCCCTACCCCGCCTACCTATCAACGTCCAAAACCTGTCACTCAGTTCCCTTCCAGCATTCCAGCCATACATCCCAGCCCTCCACCCACACACAGCACATGCATGCTCACACCAGGAAAACATTAGAGGGCCTTTATTCACTGTGAATACAAGGCCGGTGGATGAGCCTCAGCTGTATCTGGATGCTTTGTCAAACCCAGACTCTGAAACTGCTACACAAAGAAGAAGAAAGTCAAAAAACTAGGGTTGCGACTAGTGATTATTTTCATTATTGATTACCGTCTTGTTTATTATTTTAGATTAATCAATTAATCATTTAGCCTATATAAAAAACACATAATGGCAACTGATTATTTTGTCCAAAAAACAGCCCAGTACCCAAACTAATTCAATTGAAAATTATGTAATACAGAGGAAAGTAGCAAATCATCACATTTGAGAAGCTGGAACCATAAAATATTTTGCATTTTTGCTTTAAAAAATAATTTAATGGTTCAATTGAACAGCTTAACTATTTAATATAAGCATAAAATGCTGTATGTGGTCCAACTTATAGTGTTTCATAAATGGACTATAAACATACATTTATTTCAAACTGGTTCTTTTTAGCCGACTGCTCCTCAGACGAGACATAAAGCAATAAATCCCGCCTCTCATGACTGCTTGATGCCAACCCCAAGGAAAGCAAGAAGGGGTGATATGTGTAGGCGTCACAATCAACATCATGTTCGCATTATGCACCCACTTCCTCCCCACACAAACAGCGCTAACACTAAATATAGATCATTTTCCATCTCTGTCAGTTATTCTGCTTGTTTGATCAAAGCCACCTTTTTTACTGTTAACTAATATAGCATCATTAACTACGAAGACAGCAAAACCACTGATTCAGCACCACCACAGAGAAAACTGAGATTTTCCCCTACAAAGACAAAAAGACCTCGGGCGATTAATTAACAAAAACACACTGTACCTACACAGATGAGGGGAAATGGTGTGCCTGCCTACTAGATTGTCATAATG